CTTTGTCTAAATACCTGTTGATAACAGCACACAACATACATACATGCGTCTAATGTCTATAAAGTTGTACGTGTACATTTATTTTTTGAAAAGAAAAAAGTTCTTTTCTTCACGGGAAAAATATTTGAACAACTAATTTCAGCTCGTACAGAAATATTACTTTCTCGTTTTAAACTTCTAAATTTATTCTATATAAATATTGTTTTATTTTATTAATGCTAATTTATGTTATGTCCCTTATCATATTTCATTTACACGCATACAATCTTTATGGACATACATGAAATATTATTGCAGTATTATTTAATAGTATCATTTATTCATATTAATTACTTAATAGCATTATTTAGTTATATTAATTAATCATTACTATTATTTATTTATATTAGTCATTTAATAGTAATACTTTTAGCATTAAATATTTAATGGTATTATTTTTAGTACTAATTATTTAATATTATTGTTTTTCGTATTAATTGTTTAATAGTATTACTTGATAAATTATTTAATAATTTAGAATATTACTGACCAATTTATGCGATAAAACAAATAACATTACTGATTTTTTTGCAGGAAATAAATCAAAATTTTTCATTCTGCCATCTTGTGGAAAATGGTACCACTATACGATTTAGTCAGCACCAAGACATGCGAAATGAACTTTATTTTTTTATTAATTTAATTAAACAATTTTAGTTATCAAAGTGGTAATGAGGAATTCTACAAAGTTTAAAGCTTAAATGTTCCATTTTTGTGCATTACCGAAGTTAATTTTAATATGATATCTGATTTTGTGGCCTTGGATTGCATGCGTTTTATTTATACTTCATATTATTGATACTTCCTTCTGCAATGGTTTCATCTCACATTGTACAAAAATGGGAAAATACTTAAATAATACTATATAGTGATAATTATGCTCCAAAATTATAAACCAGCATTTATAGCTATAATTAATTCAATTAACTGATCACAAATAAATATAAACAATTAAGGCTAAGCCAACCAAAACTTTCACATGATGAATTGCCTAAAGCAGTATTATTTTCAAATTTACAAAATTTGTAATCAAATGAATATATGTAAAATATGTTGCAAATATAATTTGCAAAAAGCTTGTTTTCAACTTTTGAAGTTTTCCACAAAACTAAAATAATTTCCCGAGAACAGTTTTCACGCAGCAAATGTTTAAATTCAACATCTTCAAAATTTAAAGTGAATGCTTTTACAACTCTATCTTAATATCATTTATGCGAATTGAGTGCAGAAAGTTAAATATGAAAATTTATTGTATCAACTAAGCAAAATTAATTAAAAAGTTTCAAAAAATATATAAGTGTACTCTTATTAGCAATATTCTATTTTGTACAAAAATATTCTAAGAACAAATAATCTATTTGATAGTAATTTGTACAACTTTTTGAATACTGATTAGATTTATCAGTAATTCTGATAAGCTAACAATAGTTTCTGATAGCTTTCTGATAAGTTAACGATTAGTCTCATAATGCCTTCAATATTACGGTACATATCAAGTATTAAGGCACAAACAACAGACAATTACAATAATATTTCAAGCTTTTGTAATTAATTTGACAAATTCAGCGCTATATTTTGTACCTATTGTGAAGTTCAGCACAGATTAAATGTTAACTTTTACATATCTTTAAGGCATTGTAACATTAAACAAAATCTCATAAAAAGTGAAACATGAAATAGACATTTCTGAATGCATTATTGTTGAACTTATTCTCAAACGACACAAACTTGAATTCACTTGATGATTCGTATCAATTAATTACAATGCATTACTACATTAAATTAAAACTAAAACTAAATTATTGTCTAAAATAAAAAATAAATTGCAAAATTTTCAAACGATTTTTATGCGTATTTTTGATTACGTTCAGAGGTTATTAATTACATTGTTTCTTGACGTATACATCTGGTATAGGTCGAACCATACCTCTTAGCAACTGCACTGTGCTTTTTCCTCTTTCCTTACATTCATAAGCAATCATCTGTCTCCAGAAAGCAGTATTTGGTGCTATTACTGGCCTTCGATTTGAAACTTCATAGTAAGCTTGTCTTAAGCTTAATTTTTCGTTAATTACTAAACACATAATACATAACGATGGAGAACGACTTATTCCAGCAGCACAATAGATCAGTGTTGTTTTGCCCTACAAGAATTATTTTTTCTTCAAAGTAGTATAGATTAGTTTTACTATTATTTAATAAAAAGAATAAATAAATAAGTACATAAATTTATTTTAAAAATATTGTGATGTAGTTAATGGCTATTTAATAATATGAATATTTTTATATTTTTGCCATTTTTCTTGTAAAAAGTTTTTAATAATCATTTAAACATGTATTCAAAAATATTCAAACTGTACTTTGTAATAATTCTGAAATTTTTAAATAACATTTTTAAATCTCGAAAAACACAAAGCTAAAA